TCTGTGATGTGATTATCTCCAGTCGTTCTTTTGGAGCGTATTATTCCCTCAAAGTCGCCGATCTCTAAAAAGGTATGGTGTTTTCTGTAGAACGTCTATAGTCCCGTATGAAATATTCTATCTAATTGTAGCTTGACATTGATGATTAGATGACTCGATTTGTCACCTGCTGTGCGGAAAGAAAGGCGGTATTAAAAGAGCAAAGGAGGGAAACTCAAGGAAGTATTATCCGATGATTCTTCAGGAGGTATCTATCGGAATGCATAGCGTCCACTTCATGGAAAAGAGAAAGGCTGTGCCAATAGCGAACTTCAACAGCATAGCAAGATCTACAGGTAGAAGGCAGCCATATGAGCACGAATGTACCTGACCATTAATTAGACTCCTAGAGTATCGCAAATTGATAACGGTCCTAATCGGTGTAGCAGGATATTTAGTAAGCTATACTTTGAGCTTCTAAATTCACCTCACCACGTTATGGAATTAACCGTCGATATGAGACGTTCGACGGTCAATATAACCATGCCCAAACTTTTCAAAACTGCTCTCGAGTACAATGTGCATTTGTTGGAAAGGAAAGATATGAAAGCTACAACGTTTTAGAGAAAGATCTGAAGTTTCGAACGCCTCGAAAGATGGACTTCCATCCATGGGGCTCTCGAGTTGAATATAAATGTGGGTTGAGTCTCGCGAGATATCAAGTGAACACCCGGTCAGCTGCCCCACTTTCTGGCAAAAGCTTTGGAAGTAAGGAATGATTCTTTCAGTCAAGGAGAGTCTATTGTAGCACATTGGTCCGCAACATTCAAAGAACTCAAAGACACAGTTCACGATAGTTTCGTAGTGCCCTTTTTAAAATGAGAAACGGGAGTGTTGTTGCAAAGTACATATTGTGAAGGATTTAAGAAAACCAGCAGAACTCCCTACGTATAAGCGGCTGCTTTCATAGTCCGCCGGCCGGCCAGCAAGCACGCGTTCGCGGATCGGCCGGCGGACTATGAAAGAAGCCAATGAGTAGGTGGACGAAGTACTGAAGAGGACTGGGGATATTAGGACGCAATTGCGTAGAGAGTTGTCTACAGTAATAGAAAATGCGGTAAGTTGCTTCCCTCCACCATGAGTCGGAGCTGCATGCAATCGAAATTTTGTGCTACTATGACGTTCATTTGCTGTTCTCAGCTACTCTCCCTAATTTTCCTTAAAGCCACAGGTTAAGGCATACCAGAAAGCAAAATCATTGAAACATCAGTCGTACTAGCACAGGGTACTGTGGACGAGCAGCCTCTGAAGCAGCACTCAAACATCTCCGCCTATGGGTGTGGACGTAGGCAAAGCCGGTCTTTGAACACATATAGCTATCTGTGTGGTCCGTTTTTTGACTCGACAACAAATCGAGTGACATTATGGGAGGGCGGAGATTCGCCCTAATGGGAAACCTCAGAAACAATCTCCGTAGTCAACTGTGCCTTCAAGCATAAGGACTGGCGCTTGTTTGGGGAAATTGATAGCCTAAAAGAGATCGGTGGTAAAGCTAATGGATTTCTGGGCTACGATTCATCTCCAAGAGGGTGCATTCGGACTCAAACTTTCCGAATACAAATGGACCATTGAAATTCATGGCCACCTCGATTCTCCCAACTTTTCAGCTGAAGATCCAAGTATCAGCTACTTCCGAATCCTTTGATTTCTGCTACCACGACACATTGAAGATTCAGCCGCCGATCTTACAACAATGACTTTTACTTAAAGAATCGAATAGAGGACAAAGCTCAACTCACGTGATCTTCGGGCGTAGTTGAAGGATGGTTTACGAGGAGTGTTGAATTGGCATAAACAAACAAACTTCGGCAACAAAAGAGCCAATGACCGTGGAAATACAGGTACGCAAGATGATCTTCCTACGCTTCGGAATCTTGTCCGAAGTTGTTCAACGTTCAATGAAACAATGTTCTTGCTCCGGAGTGCGTGTTCCGATCTCTATTCCTTTGATCAGGCTAGTTCTTGTGTCATCAGATGTCCTGGTCCGCCCCGAACTCCGCTTGTCTTCCTCGGCACCCTATTTAAAAGGGGACAACGAGACAATGTCTCAATTTCTTTCTACCGTACGTCTAGCACAACCGGCTGCCGAGTGACGGAAATTTTTTGCTCTTCTTCCTGCTGCTTTTCGTTTTCGCCATTACTACTAGGGATTTATCTGACGACTATCTAATTTATTCGCTTTAGGTATGTATCAAAAAACGCTAGCCCTACTTTGCATCTGGTTTTGCGTGGCTCAAGTAAGTGCTCTATTGTGTTGGTTTTTGTTTATCCTACATTTATGTAAATAATGACGTGCGATTGTTTCAACTAATTCCTGAACAGTACAGTGCAGTCGGCTTTCCTAGTCCTAGACTTTCTTTCACATATTCCCTAAGAGCACGTAATAAATTTCACAGAAAAAAGGAAATAAGCATGCTTTTTCGCAAAAGAGTGAAGTATTTGCTTCAATACGCCTAGTTTTCGAGTTTTTTTCTAGAATCTAAGTGATGTTTGATTACGTTGGTCCTCTCTGTGACTTATAAAAGGTCCAATTATGTGTTAAATTCTTTGAAAAATATCTGGCAAACTTTCCACTAAAGTCTACATTTTTCTGGGGTTCTGTTTTCTTTTTTGAAATTCCTGAGGTTCTCTGAAATTTCTGAAGTTCACTTTCTTGAAACTCCGCCAGGCGCTGAAGGAAAATTGTGCGGAGTTCAAGGTATGCGTTATGATGCTCAAAATGAAGTTGCAAGAGATAGTCCACAGAGAGAAACTACAGAAAACAGCCAAGAGTCTGCGAGATGAGCCCTGAGAAGATTTCTTGTTAATGCTCTCTCCTCTAATTCTTTTAGACTTGTCAAGCGCGTGGTTTGCCTATAATGAACAGTGGTTGGTGGCTCTGACAGATTGAATCTTTTCGGCTGGACGCTTGTTATTTGGTCGCTGGTTTTATGTGATTCCAGAGCATCTTGTTCCTTCCAAATCAAGCTTGTGATTGCATCTGATCGCTTTGTCCTGATGCCTGTTAGGGATGGTTAGGTATTGTGAGAATCCCAGTTTATGGCGGACGTATGCACCAAGTAGTGAGTGAGTGAGTAGTGCCAAGCGCTGTGATCATGGCTTTTCGTTTTCATTGAGAGTTAAATTCGAATTGGGCAACTTAAAGGCACAGTTCATGACAAAAATGGTTTCTGAGATTTCCCCATACAATGAATTTGAAGCTATCCCTTATACTATATCTGCCACTAAAAGGTCGAAAAATGTCCTGGATGGGGCACATTAAGGGGCCAGAGATTGTAGCGTATGAATGCCCTACCCACCGTGTGCGAGTTTCAACGGCTTTGTAGAGGCCGCATATCCCATGAGACTTCCTTGTAGGAAGTTCAAATAACTTGTGATAACACACGGCTACAGTGGAAGGCAGTAACGGAAAATTTCGGCTTGGTGTAATCATTTCTTTGAGCGATGTTAGCTACTTAAATCTCCTCCAAACACCTCCTACGTGCCATTACCGTCACGGTGATCTCGTACAGCCTCCACTTCCACTACTTTTAAAAAACCTTGAAAGGGGCGGAGTTTCTCGCTTTCCTCGCCTCCACTGTACTCCTCTACATCGACACTTTCGCTTTTAAACCTAAAAAAGGTACCTCAAAATTATCGTGAACTATGCTTTTGAAAGAGTAAGAGAAAAAGGACGATGTTCAGAATAAAAGCTGATCCTGAAGGGGAATGTTAGAGCAGTGCTTTGGTCTTTTCTATTGCAGAGAAAAACAGGTCTCAAATGAAACACGTGAACTTCTACCATTAAGGCCATCCAGGAAAACCCGATCACTCTTCGAGTTAAGCGGCAAGAATGCAAATGCATTCGCAATCCGCGAAGTGCAGGATCTATGACGTGCAGCTGTGCAAAGCCAATGGTAGGTCTCATTCATTGATTCTATTATCTGAATCAGAAAATGAGAGAATTTCCTACAACATTACTCTCCTTTGGCTAAAAGTTCAGCTGGCTTAATCCTGAAGCCTAATATTATCAGAGATATCATTTCAGTCACAGCTGTCCCCGAATTCTGTAGAAAACCTTCAACAGACTGAAGTAGCTCAAGCACTTTCCGACAGCGTACAAGCACATCCATCACATCCTTCACAAAGTCAAGCTCGGTAAATGACTTTTCTTACCTTCAATACCTTAAAAAAGATTCTAAACACGAGTAATCCGATGCTTTCAAGAAATGTGCCCCCTTCTAATGTTCACCAATATTATAATCAAGAAAAAAACGCCCTTCGCTTTAAGAGCAAGGTGGCATGGTTCCTTTGAAAGAGCAGTTGAACGATTTGATGACCTTTTACGGCAACGCTCGAATGGCGGGGGTGGTGTAGTGACAAGTGGCGCACGCATGGTCACGGGGTTCGATATCGGGTCGCTATATGCCTAGGTCAAAAAAGCCTTCCATCCCTTCGGAGTCGCTTTAGTGGTACCAGTCTCATCTGGGAGGATAAAAGCACTGACTTGCACATGGGCTGGCCACCGTAAGTCATTGTATAGTTCACATACCATATTACCAAGCCACTACGATTATGAATGGAAGTCACCAGACCCGTCTCCCCGTCGGAATTGCTCCACGCAGAAAACGTTATCCTTTACCCTTACTATGGCTCGACATTCTATCCTACATATCCCTATAGGACGACCAAGTCGAAATACAGGGTATATCAATAAAGCTCGATTATTCACCATTTCTTTTCTCGGAAATAGCTAGGCCCGACATTTGATCAGTTTGCAAGTTTTGTGTTTATCTGGTTCATTAGAAGGGATGAGGGATCCATTGTGTTAAATTTGGGAGCACTAGACATTGTGAAGACACCGGCTGAGCTCAGAATGCCTATACAATCACGAACTCCGAAAGGGGTAATTGCAGCAAAATATTCCCTGAAAGCTGACCTGATGCCAAGAGGCTCAGCAAGCTGAGAAGAGGAAGTGAAAAATGGGGGTTCAGTCCAAGCAGTTTGCATCTGCTCATAGGCGAGTGGTGAAAAGTATTAACAAGTCGTTCTTTCGACTACTCTGCATTATTGGATCTGCAATCCAGCGGAATATCATCATCGGTTTTGAGAAGAAGTCAGTGCTTCAAAAAATCTGTGGCGAAGTGATCCTACATAAAACAAAAGAGAAACCTGCCGATAAGAGTCAGACGATAGGGAAAGAGTAAATTATTGGGCAACGGATTCATTTGAAACACAAACTGTAAGTAAAACCTCAGGCTGAAAGAGGCACATGAATACAGTCTAGCAGAACAGGAATAACCTGCTATGCAGTTATCTGAGATGCCTGGAATGCAAAGCTATTCCAAAAAAGATCACAAGTGGGAAGACTCATTTCAGGTGTGGATGCGTTCAAATCGTGTATCTCGGCACAGCGCAGTACCAGTGCCAGTGTGGAGAAGCACCGGTGAGTCTTTTAAAAACAATCCTGTTTTTTGAAACTGTCTAAGTACAGCTATCTAGACCACTACAACGACCACTGAGGCACCTACCACCCTTCCCCCTACCACTCCGGTACAATACCCTTCGGTAGGCACTATTGTAATGATATGTTTGGGAAAAATAACCCCCAATAATCGTACCACAATTGTAGCCTTCAACAAATGGTCCAGGACAGTGTCAATGCGTAATGATCCAGATCTCAGGACCATCGTCAGCACAGTATCAATGCAACTGCCATGGAAACCAAGTAAGTAACTTCTAAGAGAGAATTTAATTTACTAACCTTAGATTACTCAGAATCTACTGACGACCTAGCGCGTTTTCTACATTTTTCAACTGCTTTTTGAGTTGGAAAACAGCCATAAAATCTGCTCTATTCTTTGCTTATTAAATGAGGAATTTTTTAGCAGCAGTACCCAGCTCTGATTAACGACGCTCCTGTTGTCACTCCAGCTCCAGAAGTCACAGAGGTTCGTGACACAGAGGGCTGTATGTTTTCGGGAATGCCTACAGCAATTTTATAACTTTAGACCTACCCTCCAATTACTTATGCACCCGAATTGCCACCTGTGGAGGCTCCCGCCGTGATTGCTGATGCACCACAACAGCATCAAGGTAGGTGCCGTTTCAGATCGGTCGGTACTACTCAGTATTTCAAGCTCCAAAGCGTTCCACTAGACAAGAATGTCATCATTTCTGAGAGCTCGAAGGTTTCTTGCTATGTCGAGGTTCCCACTGTCGGAGAACTACTTCCTCGGGAGGATTACTATGGAAGCTCAGAAAGAAACGAGCTTACGCAAAATCAAGCACGTGCATTGGGTCTATTTGGTCCCTTCATTATTGTTTACCTCTCAGGGCTACGATCTCATAATTTAGGGGACCCGTCCGTTTCCTTTGGGAACTGTAAAGTGCAAAAATGCAATTCATGTTCATTATTCTATAGTGCTTTAGAAGAATTTTTACAGCCAGCCCTCAATACCCGCTGACAACCTCCTGTATGGTTTATGTGGGTGTGCCATCGTCTCCTTGCGTCTGCCTTCCACAATACGACCAATGCACTCAGAATATCTGCTGCCTGAAAGCGAAATTCCGCAGTCATAAGGTAAAGGATTCCGCCCCGAGACAGGCATGTGCACATCGTTTCATGACATTTTTCCAGAGTGCCGCCTCATCAGCAAAAGAACCAAGCACAGTCGATATGCTCATGAATAT